CACCAGGCTGGCGGGCCAGCAAAGCACTTCACACCCAGAGGAAGGCCAGAGAAACAGCTGCCGCCTCATTCTCTGAACGGCCAGAGCGTCCACAGTGCCCTCGATGGAGAACCTGCTTATCCCGGCCCATGCTGTGCTGGCTCAGGCCAGATTTGGGGAATCTGGAAGATTGCCAGAAGAGGGAAGACGAGTAAGAAACGTCTGAAAAGGCAGTCTACTGGGAACGGGCCCTGCACTTTCAACGGGATATCCTTTAAATACTGTTGTGCCCACCTCAGCTCCATCTGGAACTTCCAGGCCTTGTTTCTGTCTCTCCAAGTACCCCGCACAACGGTCTGAGGAAAGGCAGGTTTTATCACACCCAGGCTAACAATCTCCATGCACGGAGAGGACGGGTTTCTCCAAATGAACACCATAACCCATTCGAAGAACAGCAGTCCAGGCAAGTGTCAGGGCCTCCCAAGCCCCATCACACCCAGTGGATCTCAGCTTTGCCGGCGGAAGCAATGGGTGAGATTTAAAAGCTGCAGATCCGGGGTGGGGAAGGAGTCCCACTTTCACTTCATAAGCAGGCAGTTCTCTGGGAGCTGGGGCCCTGTGTGAGAAACAGTTCCTCAAGGACAGGAGGGGCTCATGGGGAAGTAGAGGAGGGGAGCAGAGGGAGGGGCGCTCGTGGAGTTCTGCTTGCAGGGGTTGGGGGTGGTGGGGTGTGGTAACAGGGTCCTGCTTCAAATCCCAGGTGCAGCGTTTACTATCTGTTGACTTCACGCTACTTATTTCATCTCATTGTGCCTTAGCAATCTCCTCTGTAAAATGGGGGAAATGATACTTAGCCCAGAGGGTTGGGGGATCAGGGTTGTGCACAATAAATCCATGTAAGTAAATCTGTGTAAGTGTTAGCACTACTTAGGGTCTACTGAATCATGTGTATCACCATTTCATCAAGCCCAAATCAATCCTATCAGGTAGGTAGAGTTTTCCCCATTTTATAGAGACAAACACTGAGGCTCGGTACCTTATCCAAAGCCACACAGCTCAAACAGGGCAAAGACCAGTGCTCCAACCCAAACAATCTTCATCATCAGTATCATAATAATTGCCATTTCCTGAAAGCCAGGTGGTGTGCTAAGCACTGTACATCCATTACCTCATCAAATACTCAAAACCACTGTAAAGAAAGATTGCGTGTAACTATTTGACAAAGGAGGACACAGGGTTGGAGAGGTTCAATATCTTGGCTGAGGTCACACAGTTAAGGAATAAAGCAGGGGCTTGAGCTATGAGTTCCATAGTTTTTCTCCATTTCTGTCCTGCCTGTCCGTATTTGTTCCAGATGTCATATCTCTAATTGAAACCATCGATGTGCCTGAATCCCTATTAACTGTAAAACACTTCCTTGATAAATGGGGTCCATGAATGGCTCCATCCCAGTGAAAGAGCCCACTGTCACAAACTGTATGAAGTAAGGACATCCCCAAAGAAAAGCCTAGCTTTCCACCAACTTCCTTCTAGAAGGTTTGGTTTGGGGGTCATAAGGAGCAACTGGGGGGATGTGTTAAAACCAAGCACGGGGAGTTCTTAGTCATGAGACAAATTAACCTTTTGGTAATTAGAACAACACAACTGCTTTTTTTCCAGTAAATCGTCATCCGCTCACAGCTCTTCTGCCGAAGGATTTTCCCCAGCTATGCATGACTGCCCTACCCAGCCGCATGTGGCTCTGAAAATATCTACAATCCTCCCAACTGTCCTCCCTCACCTGCCTGGTGACAAAGACACAGAAAGAGGGCAACTACCAACATCCTGAAACAATATAGTGTTTTATTAGAATACTATGTTTTATTAGAATACCAACATACTAGGGCGCCTGGGTGGCTCAGTCAGTTAAGCATCTGCCTTAGGCTCAGGTCATGATCCCGGCATCCAGGCCCATGTAGGGCTCCCTACTCATCAAGGAGTTTGCTTTTTCCTCTACCCCGACACCCTGCTTGTGTTTTCTCTCTCTCTTATTCTAATAAAATCTTAAAACAAAAAAACAAAAAAAAAAAACAAAGGTCTCACTCTTTATATTAGCTCAGGTCTTGATCTTGGGAGTGGATGTTCAAGCCCCTATGCCAGGCTCCATGCTGGGCACGGAGCCTACTTTAAATGAATGAATGAATAATGAATGAATTAAATATGGACCTACTAAAACCTGAAGCTAATCTGGTGCTCACTTTGCAATTACTGGGGCCCTTAGGATGATCTCTTTATTAGTCCTTTAAACTATAGTTTTCTCTAATTTAGAGGAAAAGGACTACCCGGCCTAACAAAGTCCAAAATGGCAGTTTACTAGACTATCCTTTGGATTTTAATGAAGTGCAGCACAAAATTTCTTTGCTCGCTTTACAGCAGCTGGTCCCTGCGACAGCACTAGAGCACCAGGATGCCCTCAGACTGTCATTCCCCCAGATGTGGCTGGCATCAGAGGTCGGGGCAGGGCAAAGGCAGGAGTGGTGGCGAGACTAGCTTGACCATCTCTGCGACATAAGCTCTGCCCACAGTTTGGTCTGTGGCCATTCTAGATAAAACACAAGAATAAGAATTCCAGCCAGGAAGCCTTGCTTTGACACACTTTACAGCACTGGGTGAAAACCATAAGTTAATTGAAATGGCAGTGACTGTTCACTGCTTACTAGAAGAGGCAAGTTTGGAAAAAACACTTGCTCTCAATGAGCATTTGATGCATCAAAGACTTTTCCTCCAAACAAATTCAGACTTTGTGGATGGATGAAAGGAGGACCTTTGTGTGGGACTTTGCCCAACTTGACCTTGCCCAGGACTTCTAGAAAAGAACCAAATATCTACAGCTTCTGCATGACAAAAATTCAGCACAAGGAAATTTTTGACTTTTCTAATTTCATCTTGCCTAAAATCCTCCCAAAAGAGAATCGTAAAATAAATTGGTAACTTAGACCTCAAATCCTAGACTTAGAGTTTGAAGAAAGATTGAACGCTTTTCTTCGGATAAAAAGAGACAAGAATTTGATATGCATGTTTAAGCAAAAATCAGCGATTGCACATATACTGTGAAAACACTTGATCTTAATTTTTACACGACATCACTGTTTATATTACTGATGTCTAAACGGTGCTTCTGTTACTGTAAGCAATCCTGATGGTGACACACAGAGCAGGTCCCAGGGTGAAAGGTCCAGCCAGGATGTTGGCAATGACCATTGTAGGATCTGGGCTCCCCTTCCCAAAATTCCTGACTGTTCCTGGTAACTGAAAAACAATTCACTGTCCCTAGGCCAAGAATCAAGAGGAAAAACAGGAGCAGCCTGCGTGTTGTATGGGGACGCTGACAGCAGGAGAGCCACGTGTATGTGCCCACGAGTGTGTCTGAAACCCTACAGACAGCCCAGCTTTCTCAGGAGCCCATTTTTTTGGTCTCTGCAGCAGCCGAGTGGAAAAGTCTCAAGATTAAGGACTGCTTTCTTTTGTCAAGAAACTCATTCCCTTGGTGTGGAGTAAAGCTCTATTCCAGAGCCCTCAATTAGCCCTGGGGGCAAAGGGTGGGGGGAACTGCTGGCTTGAGATTCCAGACCTCAAAGCAGCCTGAGGTCCAAGGGGAAAGAAACCCTCCCTTTAGCAAGGCAGAAGAAGAACAGCGGAATGTTGAGGGAGACAATTTTTGGACAAGTATCTCCCCACCCCCTTCATGGCTGCATTAAGAAAACAGATGTCAGACACAAATAACCACAGCTCACAGAGCACCTGCCATTTGCTACACATTATCTCATTTAACTATATTATTCCCAGGACAGAGTTACTATTTTTATCCCCAGTTTTCGGGTAATTTACCTAGGGGCACATATCACAGAAGTGACAGAATCTGAATTTGGGTCCAGGTTGGATAGACTCCAAAGCGCTGAACTTCTTTCTCCACTCCCCAAAAATTAAAAGTACTCTTCTTAAAACGTTTAAAAGTCCTTTCTTCTACCTCTGGGCTGTTGTTTGTTGCAAATACACTTTTTTTTTTTTTTTTTAAATCTGCCCTGCACACGCGGTAGAAGTCTGTGTCTTGTCCAATGGCCTTGCTTCTGGGGTTATAGCTACTTGGCCCCAACATCTCCCTTTCCCCCAGATGAGGAAGCGTCCATCCTAGGAAATGCAATCCTCTCATATTCACAGTAGGATTACCCTTTGCCTCCCACATGGAAGGCTTTCAGAAGGAAACCCTGTGGCAAACACACCGGGCCTCCCCCTTAAAGCAGATTACCCAGAAGCTGTTGAGGCCATGAGTGTACGGTTTCCCCCAATTTCATGTCAATGCAGCAATGGTGTCATCTTCTGGAATGCAGAACCAGGGGGGAAATCATAAGGATCCGGCAGTCCTTGTTTTTCACAATGGGCCAAAAGACTGTGCGAATACACGAGGTTCTTTTGAACACGCTATTCACCCTGCCAAGCAGTCTCATTCCCCTTTCTGCGGCTCAGAAAGCCGGACGGAAGCCCGCTGCCGGGTCCCCAAGACCACGCAGGACACGGGTGCAGCGGGATCCGTCTGCAGCTGGACTCCATCAACGTCCCTGCCTGCGGTCTTTCCTCCTTCCTTGGCAGCCATCCTTTATTTGGGGATTGTTTTTTCCTAACCCTGGCTGCATACTGGAATCACCTGGGGAGTTCAAACGCTCTAGAGGCCTGGGTCCTACCACAAGGAATTCTGATGTAATTGGTCTGGGATGCGGACGGGGCATTCTAAGTTGCAGGCCGGATTTAGAAATCCCCCAACGAGGGATCAGTGATTCCGCAGACGCCGAAGTTGATCCGTTTGAACTTTTCCTGCATTCCTCAAACTGCATTTCTCCTCCTTGTCCCACCCGGAGCTCTTCCAGGGGGAATATTGCATTCCGCCCACAAACAGGATCCCTCCTCTCTGCGCCTCCCCGCAAGCAGCGCCCAGGACCCCAGGAAACTTCTTCCCGGTACGACCATCCCCAGTCGCTGGAACTTACTTGGGCTCCACGTGTGCAGACCTCGCAGCAGCTGGGAACCAGAGCGAGGGGAGGTTCGGAGCGCGGGAACCGAGGAGCGCCGAGGCCCGAGAGCGCGGGGACCGAGGAGCGCCGAGGCCCGAGAGCGCGGGGACCGAGGAGCGCCGAGGCCCGAGAGCGCGGGGACCGAGGAGCGCCGAGGCCCGAGAGCGCGGGGACCCAGGAGCGCCGAGGCCCGAGAGCGCGGGGACCCAGGAGCGCCGAGGCCCGGGGCAGCGCCGAGGCCGAGGGAGCTCACGGCACTGGCAGCTGCGGGAGACTGGGAGCAAGAGCGGCCGCGCCCCGGCCCGGAACGGGAACTGGCCGGGAGGGCATTGCCGGTAGTGCCCTCTCGCCTGGGCTGGCAGCGCCGAGGGGCGGAGGCGGGTGCGGGCGGACGAGGCGGGGTCGGCGCTGGGGCCGCCGACTCTCGGGCAGTCGGGAGACGAGGCGCGAGGAAAGTGGCCGGAAGCCCCAAGGGGCACTCCCCGCCTGAGCACGAGCAACCGACCACCGCGCAGGGCCCAGTGAGCGGGCGATAGCCTTCGCTCAGGGGTGACACGCCTGGGAACTCAAGGCGCCAGTTGGGCCACGGTGGCCTGAAGCCCAGCAGGCCAGCCAGTCCCCTTAAAAGTACCACCCCCGATCCTGCAACCAGAGGCGGAGCGTGGGTGCCACGGTGCAACTTGTTAAAGTGGGACACGTGCTCCTGATTAAAAAGGAGCTCAAAGTAATCAAACTTTACAACAGAGCATTTACTTCGATTTATACTTTTAAAAATCTAAGGCTTTCTTCCTGTTCTTAAATCTGTTCTTGGCAGTGTACATTTTATACTGTATACATGAATCAGTGATTTCCCCAATAAAATAAATTTTAATAAATTTCCCCAATAAAATATTTTTAAACGTTTTAATTTTTAACGTTTAAAAAGGGAAGGTCTGCACAAGGCATACTGATTCTATAAGGTGCCATTCACACTAAAATGCGTTCAGTCTTGTAACCACAAATGCTCTTGAATATTTAAGTTCCCACCAAAGTCTGCCTTCTGAGAAAGTACGTTAATAACTCAAAAGTAAAACTTTGCAAATGTAAAATTGATGGGATACAAAGGGCAACTTGTAAACACCAAAATGAAGACAATTCTTTCAGTTTACCCTTATATTAACCTCTGACAGAAAAATTACAAAAATTCTCTTTCCAGAGCGCCTGGGTGGCTCAGTGGGTTAAGCCTCTGCCTTCAGCTCAGGTCATGGTCTCAGGGTCCTGGGATTCCTGAGATTGAGCCCCCCACCACACCCTCCCGCACTGGGCTCCCTGCTCAGCAAGGAGCCTGTCCCACCCCCCACCCCCGCTCCCCCTCCCTCTGCCTCTCTGCCTACTTATGATCTGTCTTTGTTAAATAAATAAATACATACATACATACATACATACTCTTTTTTTAAAATTCTCTTTCCTCCTAGGATTCTGAATTTTATCTTTCATGGCTTTTAAACTCTCCTATTTTCCATTTCCTGTTTCTCTGGCTGCATTCCGAGTAACCTCCTCATTCCTGTCTTTCCATTCAGCAATATTTTGCAAGTATTTGAATCAGCTCTTTAACCCATCTGTGGTAGGCAGAGTAATACCTACACCCCATCCCACCCCCAGTGCCGCCGCCTTCCATGTCCATGGCCTATACTTGGAAACTGTGAATATGGCAAAAGCAGGATGGAGGTGGCAGATGGAACTAAGGGTGCTAATCAGCTAACCTTAAAATGGGAAAATTATAGTGGATTAACCAGGTGAGTCCAATGTAGTCAGAGGGGTCCTTATACATGGAAGAGGGAGGCAGAAAAAGAAGAATCAAAAAGATGGTAAGCAGAGAAGAATTTGGCCTGATGTTGCTGGCTTCGAAGATGGAGGAACAGGGTTCTGAGCCAAGGACTAAGGGCGTTTCTAGAAGATGAAAAGGAAACAAAATGGATTCTTCCATAGCGCCTCCATAGGAACAGTCTTATTGACACTTTGATTTTAGCACATGTCATGTCATGAAATGTCAGAAAATAAATTCTTGTTGTTTTCAACAACTAAATTTGTGGTAATTTGTTCCAGTGGCTCTAGGAAACAATACAGCATCCACTCCAGTTCTTAATTTTAACAATGTTTTTCCTTTCTAATAATTTTGGTTCTATTTCTAGTTTTCTTGGTCATTTTGAACAGTCTCCTGTTCTTTGCTAATTCCATCACTTTAAAAAAATACACAGTTATTTTTTATTTTTCCTTCAATTCTTTGCAATAATTACAAATTCACATGCAGCTGGAAGAAATAATGCAGAGGGATCCATTCACCCTTAACAAGATTTCTCCCAGTGGGAACATATTCCAGAACCATAGCGTAAGATCACAACCAGGCTGTTGGCCCTGATACAGTCAAGATATAGAACATTTCCATCATCACCAAGATCCCTCATGTCGTCTTTTTATACCACAGTGCTTCCCCTTTAGTCACTGGCAACCACTAATCTGTCCCCCATTTCTATAATTTGTCATTTGAAGAATGTTATATAAATAGAAGCATACAGGATCTATGTATGTAACATTTGGGGATTGGTTTTATTTACTCAGCATAATTCCCTGGATATTCAAGGTCATGACATATATTCCCTTTTATTGTTGAGTAGTATTTCATTGCATTACCACACAGATCACCATGATTTATTTGACCATTCACATGCTGAAGGACATCTGAGTTTTTCCAGTTTGGGGCTATTATGAAGAAATCTCTTGTAGATATTCACATACAGATTGATATGTGAACATAACAGTGTCCAGGAGGGCACCTGCTGGGGCTTACCGTAATTACATGTTTAGCTGCTTCTTTTTTCTCTTTTTTAAGACAAGGAGAGAGGTGGGGGAGGGGCAGAGGGAGAGCGAGAGAGAGAATCTTAAGCAGACTCCATGCCCAGTGCCCAGCCCCACAGAGTTCAGGCTCCCAACAGTGAGATCAGGACCTGAGCCAAAATAAAAAATCAAGGGCCCCTGGGTGGCTCAGTTGGTTAATCGACTGACATTGGCTCAGGTCATGATCCCAGAGTCCTGGGATTGATCCCTATATTGGGCTTCCTGCTCAACGGAAAGTCTGATTCTCCCTCTGCCCCTCAAGCAGACTCCCCACTGAGCACAGGACCCCCCTCCCCCCAATGCAGTGTTCCATCTCATGACCATGTGATCATGACCTAACCCAAAACCAAGAGTCCAATGCTCCAAAGACTGAGTCACCCTGATGCCCCCACAAGTTTAGTTTCTTAAGAAACTGCCAAATTGTTTTCTAGAGTAGATGTAACATTTTACATTCCTGGCAACAATGTGTGAGTGATCCGGCTTCATAGCACCCTTATCAGCATTTGATGTTGTCACATGTCTTATTTTAGCCACGCTGATAGGTGCGTCCTGATAGCGATATATCATTGTGGTTTTAATCTGCTAATGATGTTGGACATCTTTTCATGTGCTTTATTTGCTATCTGTTATCTCTTCTCGGGTGAAATGTCTCTTCACATCTGTTCATTTTCTAAAAGGATTGTTTGCTTTTCTACTATCCAGTTTTGAGAATTCTTTATGTATTCTAGATTCCAGTCCTTTGTCAGATATGTGGTTTGCAAATATTTTCTCCCACTCCTAGCTTGTCTTTGCTTCTTTTAATAGGATCCTTCACAGAACAGAGGGTTTAATTTTGATGAAGTCCAGTTTATCAAATTTTCCTTATATGAATCATGCTTTTGTATGAAATCTAAGAACTCTTTGACAAGCCCTATATTTCAAAGATTTTTCTCCCTAAAAGTTTTATGGTTTTATGTCAGACATTTAAGTCCATGATCCATTTCAAGTTAGATTTTGTAGGAGACTTGAGTTAAGGTTAATTTTTCTTTCTTTCTTTCTTTCTTTCTTTCTTTCTTTCTTTCTTTCTTTCTTTCTTTCTTTCGTCGTTGTTGGCTGGGTGTCCAGCTGCTTCTCCAGCACCACCTGTTAAAGGTTATTTTCCCTTCATTACTCCATTAAATTACCTTTGCATCTTTGCGTGGGTCTATTTCTGGGTTCTCTGTTCTGTACCACTTGTCTATGTATGTATCCCTTTGCCAATACCATACAGTCTTGAAATTGGGAAGATTCTTCCCATCTTCTTCTTCTTTTTTAAAGTTGCTTTACCTAGGGTGCCTGGGTGGCTGCTAGTTGAGTGTCCGACTCTCGATTTCAGATCAGGTCAGGGTTGTCAGATCAAGCCCCGCATCAGGCTCTGTGCTCAGCACTCAGTCTGCTTGTCCCTCTTCCTCCGTTCTTCCCTCACCCCCTAATAAATAAATAAATGAATACAAATCTTTAAAACTTTTTTTTAAATTGCTTTGTCTATTCTAGTTCCTTTGACTTTCGACATAAATTTTGGAAAAATAATCTTGCTGGGATTTTTTTAAAGATAGATTTATTTAGTTATTTATTTGACAGAGAGAGAGGGGCAGAGCAGCAGGCGGAAGGAAATGGAGAAGTGGGTTTCCCGCTGAGCAGGGAGCACAATCTGGGGCTAGAGCCCAGGACCCTGGGATCGTGACCTGAGCCAAAGGCAGATACTTAATGGACTGAGGCACCCAGGCTCCCCTTGCTGGAATTTTGATAGGAATCATTTTGAACCTCTACTGGGGAGAATTAACATCTTTACTGTATTGAGCCTTGCAACCTACAAACATGGTATTGCCTATTTATTTAGATCTTTGGTTTCTTATATCAGTGTTTTATAGTTTCCAGCATATAAGACTTACACATGCTTTGTAAGATTTACATTTAAGTACTGCATTTTCTTAGAAAAAGCAATTGTATATATCATAGGTAAGAATGTGAAATGGTTCAGCCAATATGGAAATAGTTTGGTGGTTCCTCAAAAGTTTAAACATAGAATTACCATATGATCTAGCAATTCCACTATCAGGAATAAACCCAAAATAACTGAAAAGAGATGCTTTAACAGTGGCTCAGTCCATTAAGCATCTGCCTTTGGCTCAGGTCATGATCCCAGGGTCCTGGGACTGAGCCCCACATTGGGCTCCCTGCTCAGCGGGAAGCCTTCTTCTCCCTCTCCTACTCCCCCTGCTTGTGTTCCCTCTCTCACTGTCTCTCTTTCTGTCAAATAAATAAATAAAATCTTTTTTTTTTTTTAAAGAAAGAAAAGAGATGCTCAAATTCTGGGAAGACAGGGCTAGTGGGGTCCTAAGCTCACCTTGTCTCATGGGCATACCTAGATAACAGCCACATCAGTGCATATAACCCAGAAAATGACCTGAAGACTGGCAAAGCAGACATTCCACAGTTGATCATAGAGAGGAGGATTCATCAAAAAGTGTAGGAGGAGCAGAGATGGGTTGGGAACCAAACTCCTAGGGAGACTAACCACAAATAGGAGGGACACCAGAAGCATGGAGAAGGGAAAGAAGGAAAGAAGCACAAAAGAATCGAGAAGGAGGCCCACATCAGGCACCCTAGACATGAGTAATCTGCACTGGGAAGATGGGTCCCTGTAACATTTGGCTTTGAAAACCAGTGGTGATTAACTTCATGAATTTTCCTAACCAGTGGGGCTTAACTCCACATGCTTTAAAGATCAACAGCCTGGAGAGTGATAGAAAATGGAGTCCCCACTCTTAAATAAGAGACAGTGTAACAGGGAACCCCACTGAGACACAGCATAGAAGCAGGAGTTTGAAAAGCGCCTAGGGTATAGGTGAAGGAGGTTGATTTACTAATCCTGGGATGTGTGCTGGAAGGCCAGGGATCTTCAGGAGACTTCTCTAAGAACCAAAGATCTGGCAGGAGCCATTTTCTCTCCCCCTCAACCACCCCAGGCTAGCTAGCCAGACCTACTTCCTAACACCATGTGACCCATCTCCACATTCTCCCTCAGATCTGCCCCATTCAACCCACCTCCCCCTAGGAAGGAATGCTTCCAAAGGCGCTCCTGCCAGTGGCTCAACCTGCAAGCAGCCCCTGCAAGACCACTGGCACTCCAAAGTAAATCCTGCGCTAGGGAGAAGGAAAGATAACAACACACACCAGTACACTCACAGCCCCAGCAGCCCAACCTTTTAAATGCCAGTGCAGAGAGAGTGCCCTGCTGATCAGTGCATCTGCAGCCCCAGCAGGCATCTGGCCTGATGTCAGGCCCACCCACCCGCAAAAGCCTCTCAGGGGATGAGGAAAGAAGAGCACCTTCCAAGTTAGTTTTACTGTAGCCCCAGAAAATGGGCTATAGACAGGCATCTGGTCTAACTGCTGACACCACCCAACTACAAGCCTACTCTCAGACTGGCCCTTTAACAGCACAGTGATCAAATCTGGCCCACAACAGACCAAGTGAGCCACCTTGTTGCACTGAAGGCAAACAAGGCTCAGTGCATGAAATCCACATAGGAGACACCCTGAAGCACCTGGTTCTGGTAAAGAGGGGACTTGTGTTATAGGGCACTGTGGGAACCCTTCTTCATAAGGTCACTACTTTCAAGATCAAGAGATGTAACTACCTTTCCTAATATGTGGAAACAAACACAGAGAGTTACATAAATGAAGACACAGAGGAATATGTCCCAAAGGAAAGAACAAGATAAAACCATAGCAAAGAGCAAGTGAAATGGAAATAAGCAGTATGCCTGATTAACAATTCAAAGTAATGGTAATAAGAACTTACTGGCCTTGAGAACAAAGTGGAGGATCTCAATGAGACCCACAATGAAGAGATTAAAAATATTAAAAAGAGCCAACTGGAGATGAAGAACTCAATAACTGAAATTAAAAATACATAGAGGGAATCAATAGTAGATTAGAATGGATCAGCAGCTGGGAGGACAGAGGAATGGATAATAATCAAGCTGACTAGCAAAAAGAAAAAGAATAATAAAAAATGAGACCAGGTTAAGGGAACCCAGGGACATCATCAAGTGTAATAACACTCACATTGTAGGGGTCCCAGAAGGAGAAGAGAGAGTAAAGGGGGAAGAAAATTTGTTTGAAGAAATAATAGCTAAAATTTTCCTTTAAAAAAACAACCCTAGGAGGTCCATAACAAGACATTTAATAATGACAAAGAAAACAAGTAGTGATTGAGAGAGAATTTTAAAAATAGCAAGAAAAAAGAAAATAGTTATATACAAGGGAAGCACCATAAGGTTATCTGCTGATTTTTCTGCAGGAACTTTGCAGGCCACAAGGGAGTGGAATGATATACCCAAAGTGCTAAAAGAAAAAAAAACAAAACAAAACAACAACAACAACAACAACAACAACAACAAAAAACCCTGCAATGAAGAATAGTCCACCTATCAAGGCTATCATTCAGAATAGAAGGAGAGATAGTTTTCCAAACAAACAAAAGTTAAAGGAATTCATCACCACTAAACCAGCCCTACAACAAACATTAAATGGATTTTTTAAAAAACTTTTAAAAAGTAATCTCTATACCCAACATGGGGCTTGAACTCACTACCCCAAGATCAAGAGTTGCATGTTCTACCGACTGAGTCAGCAAGGTGCCCCTAAATGGAATTCTTTGAGTGGAAAGAAAAAGCCATAATCGGGAATAAGAAAATTATGAAAGGGAAAAATTTCAGAGGTAACTGTGAACATAATAAATGTAGTAGATTAATCACTTATACAACCAGTACAGAGATAAAAGGACAAAATCAGTAAAATCAATTATATCTATGAAAATTAGTCAAGGGATTCACAAAATAAAAGCATATCAAGTATGATATCACATACCTAAAATGTGGGTGATGGGAGTAAAAATTTAATGCTTTTAGAATAGGTTTGAATTTAAGTGACCATCAATTTAATATTGATTGCTATATACATAAGATGTTATATATGTATGGTGATGGTAACCACAAATAAAAAACCTGCAAAAGATACACAAAAAGTAAAGAGAAAGGAATCCAAGCACTTCACTAAAGAAAGCCATCAAACCACAAGGAAATAGAGCAAGAGAAGAAAGGAACAGAGAACTATGAAAACAATCATAAAACAAGTAACAAAATGGCAACAAGTACATACCCATCAGTAATTATTCTGAATTTAAATGGATTAAATGCTCCAATCAAAAGACATAGGGTAATGGAATGCATAAAAAAGCAAGGACCATCTATATGCTGCCTACAAGAGACTCACTTCAGACCTAAAGACACATGCAGATTGAAAATGAAGGGATGGAGAAATATTTATCATGCAAAGGGTATGAAAACAGCAGAATACACATTCTTTTTAAGTGTAGATGTAACATTTTCCAGAATAGGTCATTTTAAATTTAATTTTTTTTTGAAGATTTTATTTATTTATTTGACAGACACAGAGAGAGAGAGACCACAAGTAGGCAGAGAGGCAGGCAGACAGAGAGGGGGAAGCAGGCTCCCTGCAGAGCAGAGAGCCTGATGTGATACAGGAACTTAATCCCAGAACCATGAGATCATAAACTCTACCGAAGGCTCAGACACCATTTGTTGAAGAGACTGTCTTTTTCCCATTGGATATCTTTTTCTGCTTCATCAAAGATTAATTGACCATATAATTGTGGGTTTATTTCTGGGTTTTCTATTCTGTTTCTCGGATCTATGTATTTATTTTTGTGCCAGTACCATACTGTTTTGATTACTACCACTTTGTAATATAACTTGAAGTCTGGAATTATGATGCCTCCAGCTTTGGCTTTCCTTCTCAAGGTCGTTTTGGCTATTCAGGGTCTTTTGTGGTTCCATACAAATTTTAGGATTAATTATTCTATTTTTGTGAAGAATGCTATTGATATATATTTTTAAGATTTATTTATTTTAGAAAGAGAAAGAGAGGGCATGAGCAGAGGAAGGGGCAAAGGGAGAGAGAGAATCCTCAAACCAATTCTCTGCTAAGTGCGGAGCCTAATGCAGGGCTCAATCCCACTTAACCAATGGAGTCACCCAGGTGCCTCAAAATGCTTTTGATATTTTTATTGGGATTGCATTCAATGTGTAGATTGCTTTGGGTAGTATAGACATTTTAACAATA